GTTTGCAGAACAGAACCTGGTTTGCTGCCTAGAGCCAAGTTTGCAGCCTGGAATTCTGTGTCTAACCCAGTACCTTGTTTTTAGCCTGAAACTCAGTTGGCAGAACAGAACCCAGTTTGCTGCCTAGAACAAAGTTTGCAGCCTGGAACCCTGTGTCTAACCCAGAACCTTGTTTGTAGCCTAAAACACAGTTTGCAGAACAGAACCCGGTTTGCTGCCTAGAACCAAGTTTGCAGCCTGGAACCCAGTGTCTAACCCAGAATATGGTTTGTAGCCTGAAACACTGTTTGCAGAACAGAACCCAGTTTGCAGCCTCGAAACCCAGTTTGGAGCTTTGAATTCTGTTGGCAACCAGGACCCCATTTTGCAGCCTAGAACCCTGCTTGCAGCCTGGAACTCATTTTTCAGCATGGAACTCAGTTAGAAAACCCAGAACCTGGTTTGCAGCCTGAAACTCAGAATCCAGTTCACAACATGGAACTTGATTTGCAGTCTGGAACCCTGCTTGCAACCTCAAACTCTGCTTGCAGCCTGAATCCCAGTGTGCAACCCAGAACCCAGTTTGCAACACGGAACCCAGTTTGCAGCCTGGCATTGCTCCCTTTCGCTTTTAGAAGCAGGCAGAATCAGGACGAAGATCTCAACTCTTTTCTTGTGGTTTCCTTGGGGGGAGTCTACACATCTGCAATGGGATCTTCCTCTTTTCATATTGGCAGGACGTTTTGCATTTTGAGGTTGGATTTTTGGGAACAGTCTCATGCCTACAAACCCTGGATCCAATAGCATTGAAGCACGCGAGTCAAAGTGGGCCCAAACTGCATTGATTCTGGAGTGTAGATGCCTGCAAGCTAGGACTGAGGCCACACAGAGAGAAGGATAAGGACCACAACACAGAAGTCAAGCGCTTAGGAACAACCAGGGATCTTTGCTTTCCAGTTGACGGTTTGGCCCCAAAGCCTTTTCCCTGTGGGTATTTGATTATTTAAACTGTTTCCAAGCCTTTTAAGTGATTTTCACTGACTAGTATGTGGTGGAGTCTCCTTCTCGGTTGCTTTTTAAAGCAAGGGTTGAATGGCCATCTGTCTGGAGGGCTTTGATTCTGCATCATGGCAGAAGGACCAAATGGCCTTTGGAGTCTACGAGTACAACAACAACAACAACAATTCTATCTTCCTTTATGGGAGAATAGGGTTGCAATGGATGGCCTTTGGAATCTCTTCCAACTCTATGAAAACAACAACAACAACAACAACAACAACAACAACAGATAATAGTAATTCTGCCTTCCTTTATGGCAAAACGGGGTTGGTCTGGATGGCCCTTGGGTTCCCTTCCAACTCTCGGATTTTATAAAAGCTGCTTTTGGAGAGAAGAAGTGGGATATAAATAAACATCCTCATCATCATAAAGGGAGGCTGGGTGGCCACCTGTCGGGAGGGCTTTGATTGTGCCTTCCTTCGTGGCAGAACGCCCTGTGAGTCTGTGATTTCTATCCTAATATTTATATATAGCATATATTATATTGCATTGTCTTTGCATGCCAATCAAAACAGGAAAAATAAGAGGTGAAGAGCCGTGCCCAGAGCCACCCTTCTGCTGCGTTGCCAGCCGTGCTTCTCCGCCCCTTTTTGCATCCAGTTCTCACAAGGGGAGAATCCACTTACTGGGATAGGATCCCAATCCCTTCCAGATCCTTCCCTGGATTCATTTGGGCCTCGTCGTTTGCTCCGGCCTCGTCTCAAAACCTTGCCGCGTTTTGCAAAGCCAAAGCCTCATCAACCCTGCAGCGCCCAAGGACGGCCGCCGGGCTTCATCTGAGCCAGAGTCCTTGGATCCGGTTTCTCAAGGCCAGGGTCAGCGCCGGGAGGAGTGACCCACTTACGGAGGAAGAGGAGATGCCCGGGGATCCCACTGCATTGAGCCACGGCAGACCAAGTGGGGCCAACGCACATCATTCATTCCACAGTGTAGGCCCAGCCAAGGAAGCAAGGAGCTAGGAAGCTTCCTCCTCATTCTGCAAGCAAAAGGAAGCAATGCCAAGCTGCAGCTCAGAACCCAGTCTGCAGCCTGGAACCCAGATTGCAAACCGGAACCCAGTCTGTAGCCAGAACCCCAATTTGCAGCCTAGGACCGGTTTTGCAGCCTGGAAGCCAGATTGCAGACCACAACCCAGTTTGCAGTCG